AAATATATAATTCAGAGAACATATACAAGTCATTTAATAATTCAAACAAACGAATGAAAATGGATTATACTCTGTGAAGTGCGTTGTCATTTTAGCAACTGTGATCATTTTGCAGGGCTGAACACGGAATCCGAACTGAAAATGTTGAATGTTATCGATATGGCCTCAGGTTACTTACCAGTCGAATTATCGGGAACATTTTGCGGTGGTCATGCTGTTCCAAAAGGCACCACTGAACACGATCAAACGAATCTGATCGTAAATGAAATGATACCGTTGATTATTAACGAAAAGAACGAAGGGCGTTTGCAAACAATCGAAAATATTGATGTATTCTGTGAGAAAGGAAATTTCGAAGTGGATTCAAGGTTGTGCTCAAAATGTTGAAAATGCATTCTAGTTCCATGAGATTGCTCAAGTTTTTTTGGATGGTTTTTAAACCGAACCCACGTGACGGAATACTCAATAATATAATAATAAAATGATACTGCCAGGCGAACAGATCTATCAGTAACGATTCCTTGTGTTCATGATTTTCGTTTCAGTCGAACTATCCTTGAGGCTGGCAAGAAGGCTGGCCTAGCCATAAATTTCCATGCCGAAGAGCTGAATCAGATTGGTGGTGCTGAAATGGGAGCTGAAATTGGGGTAAGAAAGCCACAAGCCATTTGTTCAGAAACATGTCAATATTAAATTTCCAGATTGCATCAGAAAGCATTAGTACGTTTAGTTTAAACTATGACATCGTGTGAAGCGGTGTTTTGAATAAGGATTGATGAAATGAAAGAGACACATTCGGAAATATATATCACCATAATAGAATGCATGGATAAAACTGTGCTATTCATTATCACGTACTTCTCTGTTTGTTATTTATTTTCGCACTTCACTGAGGCTGACAAGAAGATTGAAGTACTGCGAAATTTCTTAGAGAAATGACGATAAGAATAGAGCAGATTTTAACGATATGTTCCAACTTAACGATATATTTAACCATACAAATTAACGGTATGTACCAAGTCATGATCAAGCCAATTTTTAAGGCTCGAGCAATGAGTCATTTGGAGAAGGTCAGTGATAACGGCATTAGAGCGATGCAAAAGTCTGGTACTGTTGCTGTCCTCTTACCAACAACCGCATACATGCTACGTCTGTTTCCTCCACCAGCCAGAAAGATGATTGATAGTGGTGTGATCGGTAGGTTTCATCAATATCTCTCCACAAATTTATCTCAAATTTCCAGAAATTCTATATGTTGTATTCTGTAATCCATACAAAAACATTTTTGAATTTCTGAAAATTCTTCTTACAAAATATTCACAAACTGAAATGGTCGACTGAATCGGTATTTTGAAAACAAATGAGTTCGTTGAAATGCAGGATAATGCCATATATTTGTTGTATATTTCATTTCATTGTTTTTGATTTTTATAATCAAAATCGATTTCAGTCGCGTTAGGATCAGACTTCAACCCGAACGCGTACTGCTATTCGATGCCGATGGTGATGAATNGATATGTATCTTTCGATGAGTGAAGCGCTGATAGCTTCGACAATCAACGCTGCACACTCGTTGCAACGTGGTAAAACACATGGTTCCATACATAAGGGTCGAAATGCTGATCTCATCGTCCTGGGTAACCAATTCATTAATTACTTACTGAATTGCTCAATGATTTGATCCGGTTACTCACTGGAGAGCAAATTTAGGCAATGTTTCTTTCCAGATGCTAAATATGCCTAAATTTATGTCCTAAGTAGTGCAACTACAAACAGAGAACAAAATTCCTATTGATTACTTCTGAATTATCGTATTTCCGAGAAATCTATAGACTTTCAAGACATAATTAGTTCGACTCGTAAGTTTCCGGGGCTGTGAATATGGCCTCGGGAAGAACTCAGAGTGGTAATTTCAAGCGAATGTCGATGAAAGTTTACAGATGCGCCACGATGGGAACACATAATCTATCAGTTCGGTGGACATAATGCACTTATCAAACATGTTGTTAAGAACGGCAATGTTGTGTACTCGAAACAAACATAGAAACACAACAAGAACTCGTTCGTGATCACATCTGCCGGTGAAGCGATTCCAACGTAAACTAAAAGATTATGAAGTATTACTCTGGCTGATGACTAACGTATTTAGGTTGTTCATCTATGCAATGTGTATCGACTTCTTCCATAACATTCATAACAATTCATATAATTAATAAATGATTTCTTCAAACAAATAAACAGTTCAATAATATGACTGTATTCATCTCAAATCCAACGTTTGAATTTGTTCGCTTTGAAGAAAGAACTCCAATAAATGAAAGCTAAACAAGTTCAAAATATTC